GGCCCAACCTTGCTCTGATATCGCTGTTATTAACTTCACAACTGTTCCCAGGCGGCCTTCCCTGCCAGGCCTGCCTTCTCACCGCTCTGACCTTCACTGTCTTCTTTTAGGTTCCTGCTCTTAAATTCAGGTTCCCAAGTTGGGAATTAGGAGTTGACGTCCTCCATTGGGTAGGTACAAGCCACAAGGGCACAGGAACAAACCAAACATCGCCCTGGAGCCCTCAGGGAGCTCCCTAGTCTTTTACTCTGCAGTCTGTCTTTCCCATCCATTCATCTTTCCCAGAGGCACAGCTTTCCCTGACTTACCTTAGCTCTCTGCCTCGGGCTATCAGCCTCTTCCTGTCCAAACCCCAAATGCTTCTGAGTGAAAGGGAGGGGGTTTTGCTATCAATAGCTATCTTACAACATCATGTATATATTCAGGGCTATGATTTAAGTATGGTTCCTGTGTCCTTCTAGGATCCCAGAAGGGCATTCCTGGGAAGTGGTGGAACTTTTGGAGGCTAGGACCTTGTGGGAAATCCTTAGGTTAACTGGGAGCATGTTCTCTGAGTGGCATTCTACACTCTCCCTGTCTCTGGTTCAAGACGCCTCCATTTCTTAATACTTGCTAATTAACTATCTGCCGTGAGGTGCTACAGACAAGAAGAGGTGCTCACCAGGCCCTCTATAAGGCCATCCGGACTTTTAGCCCTCTAAGCAGTGAGCTAAATAAATAAGTCTTTCTTTCCTTCATAAGTGCCCTGTATCTGATGCTTTCTTATTATGACAAAGAACCGACTAACTCACGGGACAAACCATGTCATATCGTCACCCAGTTGTTCCTCCTTCTGCTCTGCTGGATTGCGCTTCCTGGAAGCTATAATTGATACTTTCTGAGTTAATATTGAAGGTGAACTCTCACTCTGGCAAGATCCCAAGCTCAGGGAGCACACGCATATGCAGGAGAAAAAAAAATAGTATTTTTCTAAATTACTTAACACTGGATTTAAACAAATCCACGTCAGAATCAATTGTCAATCAATTCTTCTATGTATTTTAGGGCAGTGTAAATGTTTTTTTTACACTGTTTGAGAGAGTGTGAAAGCTCTTCCCTTTGTCTCAGGCTCACTTCGTGCTCTGGCTGGGAGCTCATTTTGGTCTTATGGAAGACAACATAGAAATACTGCATCTCATTTCATTGTGAAAAAAAATTCTAATTTCCTTTTTCATTAGCGTAATGAATGTGAAAGCATTCAAAGCCGCCCCCACGCCATGCCCATCCGTGCTGTAAACAAAGAACAATGAAACAAACTGGACCAACCTCCTCTCTTCCTGGCAGTCTGGGTTTCCTCAGAAGGCGGGAAAACCCTTCAGGAGCTATAAGTAAACAGATCTTTCCTAGACAGATGCCACACTCAGAAAAACATCTATTATTTTCAGGGAATGTTTCCAACCCAAGTGGGATAAGCCTACTGTGACCAAATCAACCAAACAAAGACCGTTAACCCAGAGAGGAAGCTTGTGGCTTCAGAGGGGAGGCGCACAAGAGGGACCAGGACTCCTGGGTATTTCTGAATTAGCTCATTCAAGATATAGGATGGATTGTTCCATGGAGTCCCCATGAAGGCTCCCATGCTTATAACAATGAGGTTTTCAGAGGGAGGATGCTGTCTTGAGAAACAGAAAACAATTTTGACAGCCGAGAGGAACGAAGCTCAAAGCAGGGCTCCGCTGGGATACAGAGGTACAGCTTCATAATCCTTTCCCCTTTCTGAACAAATCTTCCTAATCATCACATCGTGAGCTGTTTACATGACAACTGCCCTAAGACACCATTCCACGCTGAGGGGTGTCTTTGGGGAACCAATTACTTGCCTGTCTGTCCCTCCTCGCCCCACCCCCACCCTACTCCCTTGACCCATCCTCTGATTTCAGTTGGTATTCTTTTCTGGTTGAATGGCCTCAAACACAAGCTCCCCCTCCCGCCCCTAGCTTTCCTTGGTACATGAGCATAAGTCTGATAAAAGATCCGTTTGCAAGCATGAAGCCCTGCTCAGGGCTAGGCACAGGAAGCCCGGATGGAAAACCGAGTCTGCCATTGCCTGAGGAGCACCCATTGTGCGGACAAAGCAACTTTGGCTTCCACTCCTAAATTCCACTCCTAATTTCAAGGAAAGCAAGAAACTGGGGTCAGGCTTCTTGCTTCTCTTCAGAATGAAAGCAAGCGTGCATTTTAATCTTTCCGACCCACTGAATGCTTGACTGTTGAGATGAAGCGCTTGTTTGCAAACCCTTAAGCCCAAAGGGCCATTGTAAGGAAGCTCTGATCATTAAATGGGGAATCTGAAAGTCATGTTGTCCACTCTCCACAGCTGCCCTTCTCTGTGGCTCTCTTAACAGAGGTGGGGTGTGTACCCAAGCTCGGAATGTAACAGAGAGGGGCTAGGGAGACGACCACACAAGCATGGGGACCTGCATTTGATTCCCAGTACCCATGTAAAAAGCTGGGAATGGTGGTGCATGCCTGTAACCTTAGGGCCAAGAATGCAGAGACAGGGAAAAATCCTGGAACTCTCTGGCCACTTCATCTTGCTGAATTGGTGAGCTCCAGTTTTAGTGAGACTGCCTTAAATAATAAGGTGAAGACTGGTGGAGAAAACAGCTGAATGAATACACATACACAACACACACGTACACGCGTGCACGCACACACGCACACGCACACACACACACACACACACACACACACACACACACACCACGGGTTGGAGAGAGGGGGCAGGAAGAAAGAGAATGACAAAAGTGGCTTAGTGGTATTTAGAAGGAGGTACATGGTTGAGACTGTAGGTGAGCCCTGAGTTCTATCCTTGTGGGGTAGTTTCACGTCAGGGAAGGAAGATTTGGTTATCACACCTGTCAGGACCCCATTCCAAAGACTGAATGAAGTCCGGGTGCTATTATAGGTATAGCTTCCAAGACCCAAACAATAGACATAAAGACCTCCTTCTGGCCTACTTGGTACATTTCACCCCTGAAAGGGCACAGGTCCCTTCTCTGCTGGAATCAACCTCTACTTTGTAATTAACCAAAGGACGGGAGCCACTTCTGGAGCCTGTGTTTGGGTAATCAGGATGCCCGGCAAGTCCTCCTGCGCACTTTGAGCTTTCGCTCTCTCTACTTGGGCATGTCTTTATATTTATACTGAGGACAAAACACGCATAGCAAAAACATCTCACATGACAGTGTCAGAGGAAGAGAGCAACAACACCCTCAGGGGGTCTTTTGGAAAAGCAACACATGTGATATGTTTTGACTAAACAGATTCTCCAATGTTCCTTTTCAGATGGTTGGGTACAGTCAACTTTTGGACGGGCAAATGTATTAATGTCCAGGGCAAAAGTCACCCTGTGGCTAGCTGTATCTCCACCAATGGGACCTCAGAAGGCAGGAGCTCTGATGTTGGAGGCTGGATTGAGCAGCAGAGAAAGGGGGAGGTCTTCTCAAATTGCTCTCACCCCAAGCACACACACCCCTGCACTTTATTCCCAGAGAGGAAGGGTGGCTACAATTAATTACTGGAGACGATTGAGGATGCTAGATCTCCACAGGAATTGTGCCCTGACCTCTCCTGCTGTGAATGGCAGATAGGAGGCTCTGGTGGAGCTCAGCCTTATGAATGGGAGTCTCAGAGGCTGCTCTAAGAGAAGTAGGCTAGTAGGAATCCTGGGGTGAGGGTAAGGAGGAGGAGCTAGGCAAACCTGACCAAAAAAACAAAACAGAAAAGCCCCCGAAAACAAAACACAACACACACACGCACACACACACACACAAAAGAAAAAAAATCCTACAGAAAAACAACTCTCCCCAAACAAAACCAATCAACCAACAACAAAAACAACAAAACCAAAAAGGAAGAAATGACTGTGTCAGGAAACAATGGGCGGGTGCTCATATTTGCAAGGGGAGCCAGGAGGAGAGGCAGCTGATAATGTTTTTTAAGACAACCACATTGCTTCCCTGGCTCAAGTCCTGACATTTCTTCACAGTCACTCATGCCACATTTCGGTGTCCCCTAGACCAGAACCCCCTAGATCAGGCAGAGGAGCCTACTCTGCCCCACCCCCACCCCACCAGACCCGCCGGCTTTCTGAGATTTTGCCCTGTTTTCTCACTCACTCAAGAGCTGTTACTGTCCACAGTCCTGTCACTTCCTCACACCTGAATGGCTCTGCTTAGCGAATTTCAACGCCTGCTCCCTTCTACGGAGAGAGGGGTCTGCTGCCTAAGAACCTGTGGGAGGGCGCTGTGAGGTGACAGGCTGAAGCAGGAGGGCTACAGAACCGGCCTCCGTCGCCACGTTCTGTACCACAGACACCTGCTAGGGCTGGAGTGTCCCCAGGTGTGACCTCGTTCCCCAGTCTTTCCAAACACAGTTTAGCATCAAAAACAACACATTTCTTCTGTCTTGCCCCTCTTCCCCATTCTCGCTGCCCGGCTTCACGTGGCCAGTTTGAAGCAGCTGGGTCCCAGCCAAGCTCTATTGCTCAGTCTGGAGGCACACGAAGCCCTTGGAAATAGAGATCTTTCCTCTGAGCTGGATCACCCATCTCTGTCGGGTGCCCAGAAGTCTTTCGATAGCCAGGGGTTCACCCACGACCCCACCCGTGGATTTTCACACTCGGGATCCTATCTCCTGTCTTTTAGGTCATAGTGATCCCCTGTCCCCTGACAAGCCCCAGCCCTGCGCAGCCACAGGCTTCTCAAACCTTCTCAACCAGTTCCTCCACTGTCCGGGACACCCTTCGGGTTTGCCTGTGCGTGGCTCCTCTCACTCAGCAACTTCCCTTGTCCTCCCCGCCCGCATCAGACTCGCCAGGACCGAGGAAGCCCGGACAACCAAGGGTTCTTAATACTCCAGGCTCATTCAAGCCCAGGACACCCCTCCACAAATCCACCTCATCTGGGTGAAAGCAAGATCAGACGCAGAGAATGTCTTTAAGTGGCGCATGCACCTACTTGCAGAGAACGCTCCTGGTGCCCGGAGACGCTTAGTGCCGGGTGGCATGTACCGCCTCGGCACCCACGGGCCGCCCCTCGCTGCCCTGCACCTCTGGCTCCGTGGACAGCCGCTGCTCGCCCGTTCCTTCAGCCGATAGGGAAAGGGCCGCGAACGACAGTCGTGGCCCCAGCGCTCAGGCGTCGCTCCAGCTGCCGCGGCGCCGGGTGAAGTTGCGGGGCGAGCGGACGCGCGGTCGCGGAGCGTGGAGCT